TGTGTAAAAAGCTTCTAAGATTCTAAGCTCTAAGATTTAAAAACTCAAACGAGATACTTCATGGGCTTGTCAACTTTTATCAAATACAAAATGTCTACCGAAAAATCAAATTAAATTTTTATGAGCATTTGAATCACGATATTAGATATTCACTCAATTTCTCTTGTACCAATATACTTATTTTGTTGTTATTCAATAACAAATAACTGTAGGAACTTGAAATTTATAGCATAGTTAAGTTTATCAATTCGTATGCTTGATAAAATATTTCAACAATTTTTAAGTTATTTGAAATTAAGTTTTTTATTATATGAATATTTTATAACATTTTATTCATTGAGTCATAAAACTCGATAATTTAATACAAGATTCCCCATGAGTTTATATAATAGCAGTTGATATAAAGAATACATAGGAAATTAGGAACGTTTTTATAACTATTCAAAGTTCAAATTTTGACAAATTTTATTAAAATTTCCGAAGTCTTTGGTTGTTAAAAATTTATAAAACGTTTAACTTTTATAGTTAAGGATTGAAAATTAAAAASAAAGTTCCATGTAAGTAGTTAATTCTCCTGCAAAAAAAACCTAAAAACTATACAAACACAGTTGTTAAGTTCAAATTTGGATAAAGTTACCTGCTAAATAACCAAAAATAACAATATACTAGGAAATACGGACCTTATATTGGTACTATGCATCTATATGGTATACACGCTAATAAATTATAATATATTATATAAAATGTCTCATAATAAAAAATGTTTGAGTGGATACCAAAAACGAAAAATGAAGGACATTCAAAAGAAAATGTCAAAAATACGGTTCCTAGAATAGGTAAGTAAAAAATTGTTATCGTCTGGGCTAAAACAATGCTAAATTTCTAACGTTTCCAAGGAGGACACGAATTGCCGTAGGATTTKATTATAGTAATTTTTTTTCCTGCCTAAGTCTGGTTTTAAACAGGAAAAAATTAGAAAATTGTAAAGTATCTAATATTGAGTTATATGCTGATTTCTGAACAATATTTACCTATTACAAATTATTATTATTATTATATATTTATATCTCTATTGCGCGTTGTGRGAGTGAAACCAGATTTTTACGTATAAGAAACATTCAATAAATCCAACTGGAAAGTTAATAGTTATAATTTTTAACATAACACATTTTTACCGCGCACCAAAAATAAATTATTATTATTATTATTACAATATAACCTATTAAATATACATACTTTTGTATTTTATAGCTGATGAACMTCAAGCTACAGAATTAAATGAATTAATTCAGTCACCAGGGATTCAAATCGATGAAAAAACTTTTGATAATTTGAAAACAGGTAAATTAATCAAGTTCATGCTCATACTGTTAATATCAACATTTTAATCATAATTAATTTAATTATTTCTAGTAGAAGTATCAAATGTTTAATTAGGTATATAACATATCGTCAGTGGAAAGGCCAACTGATGTAATCCTCAAAAACCAAATTTTAACATGGGACACTAAAACGTCTAAAACAATAATAACTTTGTTTGAAATTAATCTTTTTGTGTTAGTKTTTCTTATTGTAAGACTCTTTGTCTTGTAATTCAAAGAAATKAAAAATTTCAAATGTCTATAAATCACTTTAAAAGGTTTTAAAAACTTTGAATAATAATAGGTACAGTAGGACGCGTCTCGATAATCCGAACACAGGCTAATCCAAAAAATGCGGTGATCAGAACGGGCTTGAGAATTATCGTATCCACATAATATGTAGGTACATATGTGTGCATTTATAAATAATATTTTCTGGTAATAAAATGTTTCGATTATGTGGGACAAGGCATACCAATCCATAATAGGAACCAGTGCACAAAAAAAAAAAAATCAATATTTTAAATAGTGAAGTTCATAATATTTTTATATATTCATTGTCTTTTGAAATTACGAGTTTTTACACGATTAATACAAATAAAAATAAAATTTCATAATTTTAATTACAATAAAATTAATATTTTTTTAGCCAAATGTAATCCGAACAAATCGCTAATCTTTACGACCCCTTCCCCCAAACTTATTCGGATTATAGAGAACCTAGTGCAATAATAAAATATTTTATCAAGTATAAACATTCAGTGACAATTTCATGGGTCTACTGTAATTTGTTTTAGAGTTACACCAATGTGCAAATTCTATTTTGTCAAAAACTGATTATGCGTAAACATTTTCCATTTATCCTTAATTTTTTTTTCCCCGAAGCTGATGAAAAGTACTGAGACTTTTAAAATTTTACAGGGGAGCACCAATTAGATTCATCATCCAACCGGAAAAGCTATTGAAGTTGAAAATCGAAGCATTATTTCGACAACTTATCTTGTACAGAGACGCAAAAAAACACACAACATTGTAAAATCAATACATTCATCGCTCTGCTCAAAATGTAAAATAGTTAAACATTGAAACTCTTGTCTTGGGTCGCACAAATTATCATATAAAATTTAATAAATTAAAGTGAGTTCCTACCTACCACCATGATTTAGTGGAACGTGATTAGTCAATTTYAGTTACATTATTAAATTTATCAATTTTATCAATTTCAAAACCCACTTAACAGATTTTAAACGTTATACAATTCAGAGATATATTTTTAATATTGCTTGGGAATAAGATTTTTGTCTTCGTAATGTAGGAATAAAAGATCATAACACTAGCATTTGATGTCTCTAGCTTATATGTGCGTAATATAGAAAATTACGATCAGTAGATCACATATAGCTTCTTTAGTTTACATAACTATTATACTAGCACATAAATCAAAAACAAATTTAATTATTAAAATATAATTATTTATTTTCATTTGGTGATAAAGTACACTCTGTACAGTTAATTATATAAAACAATACATCTACATTTATTACAGTAATAAAAAAAATTATTATTGCTAAAAAAATAGTCAATAGATATTATATTCAGATTACAATTTATTTAAATTAAAATGAAAAAAAAATATATTATGATAAYATAATTTATATATAATAACAATAAGAACTACATTGGCCAGATGGTTTTCAATTTCAGTGCTTATCATTTTAAAACGATGTGGAAATGAATACATATTTTGTAATTTGAAAAATATAAGTAATATTATACACATTCACTAATAGAAAACCAAAATTATCAACTGAACCATAATGAAAAAAACAACACTATAAACAAAGAAAAATCACCTATTATTTATTTTGTTGTACTATAAGTCTTATACCTAAATTAAATTACTTATATCTAATCGATATAAACCTTCAAATATTATAAATAAGGACGTAGTGAAGTTTTTCTTAAAATTGTTTGCATATAAAAGGTTCTGCTGTTTATTAGTTTAATAAAACAATTGGCAAAAAGTTTAAAAGGCAATGTCTCAAAATCATTTTAGTTYGTAACAATCAATTTAATAAACTAAACCAATACATTTTTATAAGTTTTGATTTTTATTTTACCAAAATATATAATATATTTCAAGTTGTGAATCAGTGAAAATGATAGGATGAATGAAAATTATTTAAAATAGTTAATCAAAGTATTATTAAATATGTAAATTAAAAATTAAATAGGCAGATTATGAATAATGAATTTGATTTAAAAAATGCAAATCTACTTTTATAAACTTCAGAATAACTTAATCCACTTTTATAGAGAATATAAACAAAAAGTATCTATTACACAAATAAATAGTAAAATATGAATAAATTCAAAGATTGTTTACAAGAGCCTTCATTTAATGTTTTCACAAAAATGTCAATGCTTATGGTAAATGATTTTCTCTGTACTATACCCAAATGCGACCTACTATATTTTTATTTATRGTTATCTAACTGATATTATTAACTTATAAGATCAATCTACAAACACAACTAAATTAATGTAATAATCTAAAGTTACTGATATTATTAATAGAGGAATAATTATTTAGTWATGATAACAAAAAATTTAAAACTGAATTTTTAATTGATTAAGTATTTAATAAACAATTATATTGTCATTAAATTGATTCTTATAATAATTATAAGCTTGTAGGTCACTTAATGGTATAATGTTTTTTTATTAGTCTTAGTTTTCATAACATTAAAATGTGTATCTAATTTATAATGAATCAATACATATTTCTACCCACAGTAAAATGTCTAATATTATTGCTATGAATTTTAACTGTTGAAACTTAGTCTGTATTAAWACAGATATAATACTTAGCACAGAGTAATGCCAAATATCACTAGTATATTTTATTTGAATTAACAAATAACAGAATATATAATAAAAATTATAAGTGTAGCTATAAGAAATATGAAATAAATACAATTACATTAAACATTGGGTATTAA